AAAGGAGAGGAAACGAGCGAAAACGAGCGACTGCTCACGATTGCTAGGCTAGCGGAGTATCGGCTGAACGCACCCATTGCTCGTGCTTCATTTAAGGTCTATCCAGACAAACTTGCATAGGTGCATAACCATATGCATAAAGAAACGGATTGGTCTGTTTCCTTAAGCGGGGAGCACACACTTCTGCACAACGCATAATACGTAAGCATAAGAAAATTGATTGGTCCATACACATGTGCATAAAGAAATAGACCAATCAATTTTTTTATGCTTACGCATTATGCGTTAAGGTGGTTTTCATGGACAGTGAAATGCTGCAGCAGCGAGCAGCAGTTTAGTAATTTCTTAGAAATTACTAAATAATTTCTAGAAAAGTTTAATAATTTCTAAGAAAGTTTAGTAATTTCCTAGGAATTTTCTAAGAAATTACTAAACTGCTGCTCGCTGCCGCAGCATTTCACTGCCCATGAAAACCCACCTTTATGCAGAAGTGTGTGCTCCCCGCTTTACTCACAAGAGGACGCTACGCGCTCTTCTCCGCTGATTTTGATGAAACTTGCAGGGTTGCGTTCCAAAATTCACTCTGGGTAACTAAAATCTATAGTTTACGTCACGTACACTATAGCATTTTAGTTAACTAGAGTGAATTTTGGAACGCAACTCAGGAGTTGTAGGCATAAGGAGTTATAGATTTCTATACCTAACTATAAATTATTATCTTATGAATCATAAATAAATATAAATGAATATAATTTGCATATAAAATTAAATTGAATAGAAATTAATTTACTGCGGTGCATCCGCCGCACTTTCCCTTTGCACGGCCTTGGTAGTAAATATTATAAATGCTATAATACTATAAAATCGTTAACTACAGTAGACAAATGTTTTGTGAATTTAAGTCTCGCTTCGGCTCTCTCCCCGGATCGGGTGGATCGAGTATAGCTTGGTCCGTGGAAGAGGGCGCGGGCGAGGGGTGAGTGCGAAAGTACGGAGTCATTGCCTAGATTTCGGAGAGTACGTTTTCGAAGCTTTTTCGTATAAAGAAAACGCGCATAACCGCGAGCCTCGCATACGCATTCTTTTGTAAAACAGTGTGTAAAACGTTGTCTGTAATAAAGCTAAAGCCGCTGCTGGATCTCAGATCGGCAAGGCGTAACAATATGTATACGTCTATGAATGTATTTAATTCGCAGGTCCTTTCATGATATTGCATTGCATATTCGCGCTTCGCATATTTATTATAATCGGACAGTAAAAGTATTAATGAAGTAGACAGAGAAGGGCAACGGTCCGCAGACGCGCAATATTTCGACAAGCTATATACTAATCGACGTGGACGAAGAAACGCTAAGTCCTGAAGAGCAGAAAGAAAAAAAAATCATGAAGCTGCTCTTATAAAGATAAAAAATGTAACTCCTCCGATGCGTAAAGCCGCGTTTTGAGACAAATCACCGATAAGGCGAGAGAATTCGGCGGTGGACCGTTGTTCAATCAAATCCTTCAACTACTCTTGAGGATCAAGAACGTCATTTACTGGTCAAAGTCATTGACCGTATTCTATATAAACTGGACGATTTGGTGCGACCGTGTATGCATGCACAAGATTTTAGATAAATGTGCGCATATGCGCGTTACGGGAACGCAGGGTATATGGCTGCGGTCCATTTGATGTTACAAGTTCTTCGAAGCATTCTTTTTTTTCTTCTTTCTTCATTGAAAGAAGGTGTTCTGCTGAACGCGGCCAAGTCCAGTGTCGCCAGAGACGGGATTTTGTGCTGATATTCCATATACTATGGTTACGCGAGCGTTACTTCTGTATATATAGTAACTTACGATAATTTCTCCGTGTAAACGGGCCGGGTTTTGTGGTAACTTACGATAATTCATTCCGTGTAAACGAGTGAATTATCGTAAGTTACTACAGAAGTAACGCTCGCGTAAACGTGTAGTAATAGTCGGTTCGGTTCTTATTTCAAGACCGTCTTAAGTAATGTCTTAAGATGCTAATACGGTTCTGTGATCATGATTTATGACATTTTAAGATTGTACTTAAAATGTTCTTAAATATAAGAACCGATTGACGTACAGTTTCGCGCAGATTTTATATAAGAACCGACTATATATGAATACCGGCCTGTAACTCCTTAACGACAGTTCGGCGCAGATTTTTTACCATATATAATACCCGCACAACTACTACGTTTACGCGAGCGTTACTTCTGTAGTAACTTATATCACTCGTTTACGAGGTGTAAATTATCATAAAGTTACTACAAAATCCCGTTTACGCGAAGGAATTATCGTAAGTTACTACAGAAGTAACGCTCGCGTAAACGTATTAAAAACGATACCGAAACTAATCGTTAAAGAATGACAGAATCCCGCTACAGAAATATGAGACGCGCGGCCTCGTCGAAATAGAGATGGCGGGGATACTCACACAAAAAAGGAGAGCCACGTGCGTGTGCGCTCAGTGCTTCGGTCGTCTTCGGTCAATTGAAAGAGAACACCCCAGATGATTTTCTGTCCTTCTTCCTCCCGCTCGAGCCGTGATACGAAAGAAGGACAGAATATCAAATGTCTGCTCTCTTTCAATTGACCGAAGACTACCGAAAAGCTCTGAGAGCACACGAACGCGACTCTTCTTTTGTATGAGTTTTTTTTGCCACGTCGCATTTCTGGCGACACTGCGGCCAACGTAATCGCCGACAAAGGTTACGATTGGAATAGGTATGTGTATTCGTCGAGAATATTCAAACCAGATTCGAAGAAGCAAGTAAAATACGTATCTTCGATCCCTTTTAATTGGAATCTACATAAATGAACTGAACTGTCAATTTTCTGCCTGCGTTTATTCATATTGGAAGCTATTAGGAAAATAAAATCTATAATACACGTGTATCATGCACGTGCCTTGACAATGGGAGCTTTCCGGCAAGCGACACAAACGTCGTTCTATCTTTCTTTTTTTACAATTATGAGTAACGAAGACAAAATGACATTTGTGTTAATTTGTGTCGCTCGCTGGGAAAAGCCAATTCCCAGTGTAAACATCAGTCAAAGTGTGAAGTGACATATTGCGTTGCAGGTTCGGCAGCAGTCAAAGGAGATATCAAATCGGCTTTTAGAACGTGCCAAAAAGATAGCGAAGAACGAATACTGCATGTGAAGAAAGTTGAAAGACAAAGAAGATTGCTGTTACAAGAATTTGGCGCCGGTTGCCAGATAATATATTTTATGTCAGCATGAGGCCATTCTTTGAGGATGAAACGCCGATAAAAACACCAGAACCTAGTACTGCCAAGCCTTCGTCACCTGAAGTTAAAGTTATAAATATGTCTAGTAGTGACGAGTGCATTAGAAAAGAGCGTGACGTGGAGAAACCTGATGAATCACCTGTGAAAAAGATTGAGATTGCTGTTCAGACAGCACTAGAACCAACGTGTCCAGCAGAGAACAAGGATGTACAAGTAGAATTACCTGAAAAAGGCATGCATGTGCCACATCCCAGCAGAGATGCAACTGCACGAGTATCTGATCCGATTGAATCAACAATTACACCGGAGACGGACGACGGCAACAATAATTTGACAAGTTCTGAGAATGGTAAGATGATTGTTGAAATTGATGAGAAAGAAGTAATTATAACATCTAAAAAAAAAGAAAGATTAGCGTGACATTATCAAAGCAACCGTCATCTCAAATTTATCAAAAGGTTCACTCAACGTCTGTTAATTCTAAAGTGACATCACCTATGAAGAGGTTTTCGAGGTCTCAGTCAGACTCTTGTCTAACTTCTCAGGAGAAGACGAAATGTTTGGATACGCCAGACGCAGCTACTATAAGAGTTGATGTACACATGAACGAGTTTGTTCAAGATGAGACAGATGCATCGCAGGAAACAAGAGTGTCGATAGATGCTAGCGCGGAAAGCTCACAGACAGTTTCAGGCCCGAACGATGAAGGTCAATCTACAGGTAAGCCGTATCGAGTTCTGAGTCAAATGAAAAAGATTCGGATAAAAGATACTTCAGATACGTCAACGTCCACCGCCTTTGCAAGCTCACTGCCAAAAAGGCCTCAATCAGTGTTTGACGCTCTGACTAACGTCACGCCGATCTTAGAAATATGTAGAAATAGAGCTGATGTTTTGCAAGACCTGAATTGAGAATACAAAACATCAGCTCTGTTTTCACACAGAAAATTCCTTCACCGCGTACAATGATGACGCCATCGAAGATTCCGCACCGTGATAGCATTACCAGAATGCTTAGATTTAGTTTGAATGAATCTTAGACTAAAATGATGGTACTGTGATATCGACACAAAAGGACCGGTCTACCATTACAGATCCATCAGACGTTTGTCAGAAATCTGCAGCATTAGAACGTATTTCTATTTCAGAGCAATCATCATCCAAAGTCTGTATATACAAAAATCCCCAATGTAAATTATTGCATATGAAACTTGACGACATTCACGATTATGCTTTAAAAAATTGTACTGAAAGATTGCAAAAATATCAAGACCTACAAAATTTATATACAGAAAGAATAGCGTCTTTAACTGACCTCATCGAAAAAGTACGAAATGAACAAAAAGGTAAAATATTAAAGTATTATTAAAATATTATTTATTTAACATATGCAAATTTTAATCACCCATGACATGAGATATTTTTATACTATTGAAATTTTCAATTAAATCTGTATAATTTATCACTAACACTTGATAAAATATCAGATTGAATATGTTAATAGAACTTTGTTTTTGTGCGAAACTTTAAATGCATTACATATTTATTGCAGATATGGATTTTTCGCTTATTAGTCCAAGCGATAACACTAGCTTAATGCAAATTTCTACACCAAAATTATCCTGTAATGATGCACAAGCAGTACGTAGATGGAGTGACCCTATAGAAGCAATTCATGCTCTACTTGGAAGAACTCTCCTTGAGTCACAAAGAATTATGCGAGGAAGCGAAGCAGCTTCAAGGAATGAAACTTTATGTGATGCGGAAATCCAGGCGATTACTTCTACTCCTCGAAGTAAATTAGTGGACACTGTTAAAACGCATGTACAGGAATCCAAAGTAGTAGAAGGCAGAACTGAGCCAAAAATTAATAGCAATGAAAAATTTAATATACATCTTAGCCAAGTTGAAATGCAGCAAAAACCTCAAGCACGGTCGGCAACAAAAACATCGGGGCGTGACTTTTATCCTCCGTGTATATTTTCTTTTTACGAAAAAGAAGTAGTAGAGTTTGTAGAAAAACTGAATAATTTGGACGAAATTATAAAACAAAGTGAAAATTTGGACAAAGCAAGTACCGACTTTGTAGCTTTGAAAAAAAATGATGAATCACAGAATAGAGTATCGTCTTTTAAGGAACTTGATCCAAAAGAGAGTGCCTCATTAAAACGTGAAAAAGATGATAGCATTACAGAGGAACTTGCTTCTACTTCAGGGGTAAGTAACATATCTTTATTTGTACATATAACATTTTTTATTTATGCACAAAAATATAAATGAGAAAAAAGAGGGAAATATCTGTATATATATTAAATATATGAAGTTTACTTATAACATTTGATTTGACATGTTAAAAGCACGATAAAATAATTAATACTATTTGGCAAAGCGATTTCTATGTATGAATACTATTTTACGTGTTATATATATTTTTAGACAGCAAAAGAAAACGATTTTATTCCTATTGTAACCGGGGTTCCCTGTAGAGAGACTGAGTTTGTAGAGAAACTGAATAATTTGGACGAAATTATAAAACAAAGTGAAAATTT